AAAATGGAATTAATTTGCTGAAAGTTTGTTTTGGGGTCGTATAAAAGATCGGATTGGCTTCGCCACTGATTTTTATATCTTCATTGTATTAAATAAACTACATCATTTAAATGAACAATGTACTTTGGTATAAAATTTTTTTAAATATCTCCATTCTTATGTCCTATACTTCTGAGTATGTCTCTGTCTGCTGTTTCAGTTACCCCTCCAAACACGAATATCATCAAAAGTCATTCTTTGATTAAGAGCATCTTTTCAAGAGTATTCTAATTGCGCATTTAATAAAAACGACAAGTTTTTTTAATTCTAATTCTAATTTCTTTTTACAATTCAATTCAATTAGCTATTTAATTTTACTAAAGGCCATAATATGTTGTCCAAAATTTTAATATCATAGATAATTCAAAATCTCAATTGTGATTTACGTGCTTCCAATGATCTATAGAGCCGATTAAATAAGATTTGTGATTTAATTACCCCATAATAATGTTAAGATATCAAACTTTGGGTTGTAACAGCTTATATGCACGTGTATACGAAAAAACTTTTCAAATTAAAGAGAATTTGTTTTAAAATGCCCTGATAAAATTATAGTATTTGTTCAGAGGCGAAATATTCAACTTTATATTCTATTTAGCAGGTTCAGCAATTTTTCCATCCCTATCATTTACGAATAAATATATGTCTAAATTAAACTTACACAAGCAATAATTAAACGTTTTTCTTCCTATAAAATATGATTAAGTAATTATTTATAATGAAGACTTCCTACTAAGTAGCTGCAATTGCTTGACGTTTATACGTCAATAACGCTCGGTTTTTTTATTTTGTAATTTCTTTAACGAAAAAGTCATCATTTGTACTTATCAATTAATTTTCATTCGTTGACCAAACCATAATTGTGTTGTGGCATTATCTGATGATGCACAACGATGTTTTTTGTCATAACAATCATAAAATCCAAAATTATCTTCTCCTCCTTTATTGTTACAGAAAGATGATTTAAAATCGTCGTGGTTGCAGTTAGATACAGTTTGGGAAGTGTCTGTGTGAAAAATATGTTCGTCATTTTGCCAAAAAGGAATTTGGCAATCTTTACACCTATGCCCTCTGATATTAATAAAACTGACATTTAAACAAACTGGAAATGTATCGAATTTTTTTAAAACTGATGCATTTTCATGGGTTGCAATAACAATATCTGTTTCATTCCAGCCATTGTCACCATATGAACACGTGATGCGCCATAACATGTTTCCATCTTCTTTTATACTTTTCATTGCATTAAAAGAAAGTCTGTGATCTTCCCATGTTTCATTCATTTCATTTCGAGGAGAGTTTTCATAATATGCCTTATTTTTGTAGTGTTCGTTGAATTTTAAACTATAAGACATAACCAATGTCCAAATGTTGACTGGTCCAAACTGACAGTAAACTTTCACTTGGTTGTCATCATTTGTAGATATTTTGTACCAGCCATCAGAAAGATCACGATAACTTTGACAAGACTTTGCTTTCTTTTCACAACGTTCACCAACAAATCCCTCTTTACACTCACATGAAGCACGTGTCTTACTTAGGGGTGACTTTGATTTACGACATTTTCCATTGTTATAGCAGTAAGTTGAAGTTAGACAGCAATCTATTACAACAAAGCATCTTTGTTGATAGTAGTTTGATCGACACTTTTAAAATAAAAAAAATATTTAAGAACACAAAAAACTCAAATTTGTTTTCTATTAAACAGGATAGAACAATAATAATTGTTTTCTTTTTATTTTATAATTATTTGTATTAGAAAGTAAAAACTATGGAACTTTCTATTTGAACTATGGTTTAGCTAATACAGCACGATCTTATGGGTGTTGGAGTGGGATGTTTGTGCTCATGCGTTTAAGTACTTGTCCCATAATAAAACAATTGATTTAAAAGGATCATTGTATGGCATAATATGAACTCATGATTGAGAGTTTTCACCCTCTAATTATTCATATAGCTACGTAATAGAGATAGCTGCATAACTGATGTTATATGTTTGTGGAATGATTTAATTATTACCAAATGACACATCAAATTTGGCGTGATTTTTAATATTCTTATACGCGTTAAGTTGGAAATGATCTTTAAATGTTTTAAAAATGACATTATTTCATTGAAGAACGGCAACAGCATTGAAAATATTATTAATCTATGTGAGTGTTACATTTAATAATGATTGATTTAAGCAGAATGAAACTTAAGCACAACAGCTCAATTAGCAGTCGGCTCTGATTATTAAGCCCTTATTATTCGAGCAGAAAGTCTTTACGAAGAAATATCACACTGAACTTTTTTATCAGAGGAAGACGGAATGTAATAGACAAAGGCTAAAATGTTTCTGACCCAATTAGAGCGCGCCAATTTCACTTGGAATGACGTTTTCAAAATGGGAATCACAATGTTGTACATATAGTCCATCCCACCAGTCGTCACCTCAACTTTTACTAGTATTTCTCAGGAATATGAGGCAAACTTTCTCCTATCATTCTTAGAGTTACGTGCTTTGAAATCAAAAGATTATCAGACACATAAAGTTAAGTATAATTTGGCTTGTAAGCTTTAAAGTTTTGGACAATTCATACAATAAGAATTTGCACGACATTAGTGTATCTGATATACCTCATGTTGGTTTGTTACGTTCATTGTGAAATATTGACATTGTCGTTTCTCATCTTTGTTACTTAGTTCGTTTGTTATCGTGGCGGAAAGAAGTTGGCAGGTAGAATCACAAATTTGAAATGATAAACATGAGCAGTCTTGTAGACATTTCTCCAGACATTTGTTAATCTCTGAGTTGCTGATGTTTCTCAAAATGTAGTTTGAGGGCAGTGACGCAATACGAGCTTGGAGTTGTACATTGCCTTTAACAAAGATGAGTGAAGATAAACACCATATATTGAAGAATCTAATCCAAAAGAGCATTTTCAAACGAACTTTTCCTAAAAAAATCAAAAATATTGAACTAATTTACGGTTATGTCAGTAGCCATTTTTTCTTGTCTATAAAGGGCACATGGCTGTAAATGTTGGGAAAATGCAAATTAGCAACAAAACTAGTAACAAAATGGTGTTCAAAGCTACTTCAACGAGAGGTAAAACAAAAGATGCTTAACAGAAGTAAATTTTAAAGTTTAATGATGGAAGATGTGTTAGGGCTAAGTGCACCGTTAGGGTATGGGTTTGAATAGGGGTCAGGCTTTATAAATATGAAATTAAATTTAAGCTATATGTTCGGATTTAAAAAAACTTGCTTTATTTTTCCAAGATGCTTGGTAAACTGCATTTGAGCGTTTGTTTTTTGATTGGTATTTTTTGCATGCTATGATGAAGAAACGAAACCTTTTCTCCAAACACAAAAGAAATTTCTTATTTCTTATATGAATCAACACGCGCATGAAAATAAACATGGATAAAAAGCAATTGAAAAACATGGCGTTTAATCACAGTTACAGTTCAAAAAATATGCACAGTTACAGTTCAAAAAAAGAAAAATTATATGATCCTACCTCTTTCACTTTAAGGCGCTTTCACACTATGTGCTCTCTTTCTCTTGCGAATTATAACAGAAAAAGTGTTGACAGACCATTATATTAAACGTTTCGGTAACTAAGATATTTGTTTATCGTCATAAATTAAACATTCTGTTTTTTTACTATTTACACAGATGTTCTATTTCTTGCATGAAACAGTATTGCGGCCATCTTTTTAATGGTTTTCATGTCAGTGTTAGATTGAATATGACGTTTGATTTATAGCTTTAGCAAATATTAACCTCGAAAATTTAATGCTGCTATGCAATTTCGTCAGTAAACTGTACATCTGGCAGCTGTAAAACTTGCATTGCTCATTTATATATATGCATGTAATTTTTTCATTAAGTAGTTAGGTCTATTTTTGAAGCCATAAAATTAGGTAACAACTGTGTTTAAAGAAACAGAATAGTTTTAAAAACGTCTAAGTTTTAGCTTTATATGTTTATCAAAAACACAAAGGAAGAACAATGAATAAGAAGACGATTGTATATAAAAACACTTGGCCTATATTTTATGTCTATTTAAGTTCCATTATTTGACATCATGAAATAGCATAAATATTGAGAAACAATCATTATTGGAGTTAACAAAAGTGTTTTACACATTTAGAGACAACAGTTAAACGTGCTTGTATAGCTATGACTTCGCCTTCATATAACTCCCTAAAGCATAACACGTAGATATGCAAAGCATCAATCAGTTCCCATTTTTAGAAAAATTCAAAGAAAGTAATAAAACAATTCATGCAGGTGTTACTTAAAGACTCACACTCGTTGTCGTCATCACACATACTTAATAAAAATTAGTGCTGTCATTTTCACCAAAGGCGAATAAGAAAGAAGATCTATAATAAGACACAGTAACACGCTACATAATTTGACATGACAATTTACAACACACTCCCCACTTTGATTAGTCCCACTAATCAAGCATACTCCGCGTCTTCCATACAGAATCAAGAGCAGCGGCTCTCTTGCGTCTACCCTCATGTTTTGCCTCACTTCCTCTTAGCTTTTTTTCATTTTCTTTTCGCTCACATTCCCTTTAGTCGTGCTTTAACTAGGTGGGAAAGAGCTTTTGGACGGGACGATTGAGGTGAATGACTTTACCGTTCTTAACTAGCCTGACCTTAGCGCCTCTTACCACTCCATCTCTCCCTAAAAACAATTCGTCTATTACATCTGTCTTCCAATTTCCTCATTTGACATTATCCTCATAAACAGTCACGACATCTCCCTTCTCTACGACCCTAATAGCATTGTCCTTTTCCTGCTTATGAAACTCCCTTAAACCAACCAAATACTCTTTACGCCCCTTTTTCAGAAATGCATTTTTTTCTTACTGAAATACCGATACCGTTTTTTACAGAAGCCCTCATCAGACTTCTCTTCACCAGACACTTCCTCTGGCATGGACAACAACTTTCTCTCCGTCACCAAATGCGACGGAGTTAGTTGTTCACTACCCATCTCGTCGTACGTGTAAGTCAATGGCCTAGAATTTAATGTTGCCTCAACTTCTACAATCACTGTTAATAGTTCGTCAAATTTCAACCTAGCATTTCCTAATACCTTCTTCAAGCACCTCTTCACTGACCTAACCATCCTTTCAAAAAATCCACCCCACCAGGGAGCTCTATCTAGATTGAGTTTCCACTCTATCCTATTGTTTCCCAAATACCCTTGCACACTTGCATTATTATACAGGTTTTCTAAAGTCTTGACTGTTGCTTTGATTGTTTTTGCATTGTCTGATACCATTAATGATGGGGTGCCCCTTCTAGCTGAAAATCGTCTAAGACATCTCATGAATTCATCCGCAGACAAATCTTTAGCTAGGTCGAAATGTAAGGCTCTAGTTACGCAACAGGAAAACAATGCGATGTATACTTTGTCTGTCCCCCCTGATGTATTCTTCACATATAGTGGTCCAACAAAATCTACCCCTGTCTTCAAAAATGGTTCCGCTTGCTCTACTCTAAATGCTAGAAAGTTTGCTTTGTTATTTCTGCTAAAGTTGCTCTAACTCCGCTATGATGTACTTTTTTGTGGCAATGCTCAACTATTAATTCCGTCAATCTACCTTCCTTTGGTAATAAGATTGGAAACTTCGTTTCCTCTTCCAAGTCTGATTCTGCTAGCCTACCCTGACATTTTGGTAACCCCTCATCTTCTACTACCTTGAGTTGTACCTCTAACTGCTTAAAGTTATCCTCCTTCTTTAGCCTTTGTTGTGAAGCCTTCAACCAAAGTTTTCCTGCTTTACTTATCTCCTGACTCCCTAATTCTGGGAAGGTTAAATCTTCATGTTTCCCTTTGATCCTAGCGATCAAATTCCTGACAAATCGTGTGACCCATGCCGTTACCCGAAATAACTTCTCAACACTACTGTACGCTACTCAGCAACCTTGGTCCTGTCCACCAAAGTGATTGCTCTCCTATCCTCGACGCAAACATTCCCCTGCTTCCTAAATCAGCGGGATTTTCCATTCGTGGACAATGTTCCCACTTCTCCTTCTGTGTTATTGCTAAGATTTCATTTACTCTATGTCTAACAAACTGTTTCCACTCACCGCGATTCTGAATCCAATATAATGCTGTAATACTATCTAACCAGTACCTTGCTTCTATTTTCCCTACTTGGCCTACTAAAGCTTTCCGCACAGATTCCATTAACTTTGCTAACAACAGCGCGGACATTAGTTCTAAGCGCGGTATAGTAAGCTTCTTCAGCGGCGCAACTCTAGTTTTTGCTGTTAACAATTTCACAAAGACTCCAACACTCGTGCGACAAACAAAATATACTAGCGCGAAATACGCTTTCTCGCTTGCATCACCAAACCCGTGAAGTTCAGAAGATTGAATTTCTCCCTTCACACCACTATAGATGCATCTACTTAGCTTAATAGTCTTAACACGGATTAGATCTTCAATCCATTCAGTGTATAGACTGGCGTGCTTTCTGCTTATCTCGTCATCCCAATCACTCTTTTCTATGCACAACTGCTGGAACAAGATTTTCATCAAAACTATTACGCAGCTAATTAATCCTAGCGGATCAAATATCTTTGCAAGTGCACTCAGCAGGTTTCGTTTCGTTAGCTTCTTGTCACCCAAGTCTACTACAAACTTTTGTAGGTCGAACATGAACAGATCATTGTCGCAATCCCAGCCTATACCTAAAACTTTTGCGTAATCATCGTTATTTTGGATTCCCAAACTCCATTGTGTGAATGTTTCATCGTCTGGATCTGTTGCCTGCACGACATTGTTCTCGCATTCACGCTGTTCTATATGCGCTCGCACGTTTGCGTCATTTGTCATCCATTTCCTTAAAGTGGTTCTATGACGAAAACTTAACGTTAAAAAATCATCGATTTTAGCATTCAATAGTTTAAACACATATCAATTATTGCTTTCGTAAAATGTAAGCAAAAATAATAATATAACGAGGGAGTTATGAACATTTGAAATGTATTATTTTCATGTCCGCCATTAAAATCGGCCATTTTGAATATTTGCAATCAGCAAAGGTCTGTGACGTCATAGTCTTAACACGGCAAGAAGCGCACATTGGAAAGTATACAAAGTAATACATAAATAGAGCAAAAAAATGTCAAATTCATCGAGATCTAACTCGCTCTCTGAGTCTTCGATCGAGACAAACGCATCGATTTCTTCATCGGAATTTGTGACGGCAAATTCGAACGAATCTAATTCGGAAATTTTGCCATTTGTCGATAATATTGAACCGCTTGCTTCGCCCGATGAAATTGCTGAGTACGAAGCTACAGTCGCAGAAGAACGGCGGGTTGAAGACATGCTGCAAGATCGTTTTGATGCCCGTGCTGATGTTACTTCATGGTAAGATGTCATTCTTAGTGTGTTACTTTGATCTGAATCGTCTGCCGTTAGCTATGATAACTTTATGGAAACATACAATTTGGCCAATATTAAAGGTGTGAATGTGGCCATTGTTCGTTGGATCTTGTTGTCAACCCTCAAGAGTGCCGATGCTGCATGGAAATAGAGCAATGCCGTGGTAAAATATATCAGTTCGAAATCGATGAAAGGAAATGCATTTTGGATCACCCTGGCTTTAACGAAGTTTGCCTGGACGAATTTGTTCTTCAAGCAGCTTCGTTAGGTTTAAAGACCAAAGGTCTGGGCCGTCTAGTCATACCACCCAAATGGAATAAACGCTCAAATCAATCATCCGAGAAGTGATTCGAACATATCATAAATTGTATTTCGCGCGAACTCGGATTAAAGTTTGCGCGCTTCGTCTGAACAAATTTAACCCAAATTCTTCTCAAAGACTCGTCGTTTTGGCTTTTATGTAATGAAATGCCTGTACTTCTATCAGACTTATTACTGCCATCTTGCACGACACAGCGTGTTGAAGGCATGTTAAAAAAATTGAGTTATACAACCTTTTAAATCTCTATTTGTATATAATGTTATATTGCAAACAGCCGCGAGTTAAGACTATGACGTCACAAGGACCTTCCTTGAAAATTCAAATATGGCGCATTTTAATGGCGGCTCTTAAAGTTCAAGTTTTATCGCTACGTAACTCGAGCAGCCGTCTTTGTTGTGAATTGAACTTTCAAAAGAGTCCCAGAATTCACGCCAATCTTTTATCTTGCCCGAGAACGTTTCCACTCCAGTTTGGGGAGCTTTACTCTACAGCGTGCTCCACTGGATACCGTACTTGCTGATGTGTTGGCGAGTTCCTCATTTCGCTTGTTTGCCTCTATCGTGCTCAGCGCTTCGTTGATTTCGGCCAACGCGCCCAAAACGTCGCAGCTGTATTCTGATGAGCCGTCAATATCTGCAGAAATATCTTCATCTTTTTTTAACAAGCTCTGAATCTCATCGTCCAACTTCGAAATTGTATCTAATTTCTTAATAAAAATATAAGCCACATTTGTTCCAGTTCGACTTTCCTTGATTATGCATTATCGTTTACCATACTTCTCACCTTGTTCACAACTTTTGTGGCGTATGATTTGTGCCCACTCCTCGACTGTCGCTTTCTTGTCAGCTCCGACATCGTTAACAACCCTTTATCCTATTTCTGTGTTCTTCTTGAATACTGCTACTAGATCCGGCTCGAAGGACCACGTTTCGCACAATCTGTACGAAGTGCTGGTTCTCTGTTTTCAACTTCACTCGAACGATGGGACTGTATTTTGAAAATAATATTTAACACTTCGATAGGATATTTACAGTGGTTGTGCACGATTTTTACGTTAAGGAGTTCCAAGCGTTGGTTCTTCACGATACGGAATAATTAAACTGATCTCGTTAAGATTACGGACAACCATCCATCCTTAAACTGCGTTTTCGAACTTTATTTCCTTCTGCAATACGACTCTAATTTATCAAATTTGTATGACCACTTCATACACCAATAACGTCAAATTTTCCGAACTCCCGAACCAACGCTTGCAAGCTATATTTATATATAATTCTTCGGAAGTGGTTTTAGGCGTTTACATATAAATTGCAACTTTGCCATTCCGTTTCTACCTACATCCTACCGCAATGACGCATTGCGATGAGGAAGTGTTCTCTTAACATGACTTTACTATTTTACATCAATTTAATAATATCAGTTACATCTTATAATCTATAATAAGACACAGTCACATAATTTGACATGACAATTTACAACTTGGTCAGGATTGTCATGGTTGTGATTGTCATGGTCATGATGTCATGGTTGTGATAGTCATGGTCATGATGGTCATGGTTGTGATAGTCATAGTCATGATTGTCATGGTTGTGATTGTCATGGTCATGATTGTCATGGTTGTGATATTCATGGTTGTGATAGTCATGGTCATGATGGTCATGGTCATGGTAGTCATGGTCATGATGGTCATGGTTGTGATATTCATGGTTGTGATAGTCATGGTCATGATGGTCATGGTCATGATAGTCATGGTCATGATGGTCATGGTTGTGATAGTCATTGTCATGATTTCATGGTCATGATAGTCATGGTCATGATGGTCATGGTCATGATTTTCATGGTCATGATGGTAATGGTTGTGATATTCATGGTTGTGATAGTTATGGTCACGATGGTCATGGTCATGGTAGTCATAATCATGATAGTCATGGTCATGATCATCATGGTCATGACTGTCTTTGTCATGATTGTCATGGTTGTGATAGTCATGGTCATGATGTTCATGGTCATGATGGTCATTGTCATGATAGTCATGGTCATGATGGTCATGGTCATGATTGTCATGGTCATGATGGTCATGGTCATGATTGTCATGGTTGTAATAGTCATAGTCATGATAATCATGGTCATGATAATCGTGGTCTTGATAGTCATGTTCTTCTTCCTCATCCTTCTCCACGTTCAAATTATCAGTAATTTGTGGTTATTGAACAAATGCAAGCTTACCTCAACATGTACTGTTTTTATTAAAATGTTATGTTTAGTTATTTTACTAAGTTTTGAAATTTGTTAATTGAAGTATTATATACAATTTCTGCCAAACGTGTATTGTTAAATACAGTTTTGAACATAATTGTATATACCTGGTGTCATGCTGTCTTGGTGTGAATCCGTGTGATGAATATGTTAACTCGGAATGCAAACTCTTTAATAAATAGAATACAGCATACTGCTTTTTGTGACCATTTTTGTATGGGATTCCATCGTTGATTTTCGTAAGTCGAAATCTGAACGCGTATAGGAATATCACATTTGTTTACGTACAAGTAAACATTCTGATCACGTCCGACAGCAAATGCACATGGCTTTACGGCTGATATTCTTTTTATGATAACCGTATCATCTGATCGAGCTTGCAATTTATTATCCTCCAGGGATAAGGTGTACGATATACCGTTCGCATCGGCAAACCAAATAACCCCTTTGCTGTTCATAACTCGACAAATTCGAGCTTCCAATTTAGATTTGTCTCGGAACGCGGAAACGCACATTCAGAACTTTTCAGTAATCCGTTAAATAAGGGCATCATGCATAATGACTTTCTGTTTTTGACATCCTGTGCGTCCTCTCACTAGTAACCCCCCCCCCCTCCTCTTCCCTCAAACACACGGGTTAATTTTAACAATCCCAGACCTCAGTGTCACGTGTGGTCCATTACATGCCATCCACCGTGTTACCACGTGGTTAAATGAATTGTAACAAATTTGTAACAAAATGACAAACAACAAATTACTAAAACATTGATGTTGTTGGGAATGAAGAAGCGAAGATTTGGTGCTGGATAATGGAATGGATTTGGTGGCAAAGTAGATAGCACAGAAACAATTGAGGAAGGAGCGAAAAGATAGGTTTGCAAATGTTTATTCTTCTTGGGCTGTTGAAAATAATTTACACAATGGCAATTCTGTAATTTTTAGAAAATTAAAAGAAGAATGCAATCTAACCACAAGGACCTAAAACATGAGCCACAAATCCTGGAAATCCATATTTTCACAACAAGGCTTTACAAAGGGAAGTGCAAGAATCAGAAGGTGAACAAGTTAAAATCAATGGCATTGGCAGCCTACAAATTTTTGTCCAACTTTGTAAATTTCAGCACATTATTGTTTTTTATTATTCAATTTACTATTGTTTCTATTGTGAGTGAACAAATGGATTAATAAACAGTCTGGCTACGTCACTGCTTAAAATTAATTCAGAATAAATATAAAGCTTTTTCATAAATTAATATGGAGCATTTTTCCTCCAACAGAAATGAGACCTAAGTGGTTTAACATGGATGAAATTTCTTTCAATGAAATGTGACCCGATGACAAATTGTGGTTTCCAAATGATGCTAAGCGACAACTTGTTCAAAGGTTATTTTAAGTAGTGTTTTTTATATCAATGAATTTCATTGAGGTCAGTTTTTGTTCTCGTCGGGCAAAAAAGTGTCAGCACACCCATTTTTTTTTGGTCTCGTACACCCATGCTTGCTTGCAAATTCCTAAATAGATGGTGTTTTTTACAGAATACAGATTACAATGTAATCTGACTTTCGTTTTAATAAACACGTAATCTAATCCTAAATAGATGGTGTTTTTACAGAATACATTGTAATCTGTTTTTCGTTTTAACAAACACGTAATCTAATCCTAAATAGATGGTGTTTTTTGCAGAATACAGATTACAATGTAATCTGTTTTTCGTTTTAATAAACACGTAATCTAATCCTAAATAGATGGTGTTTTTAAAGAATACAGATTACAATGTAATCTGACTTTCGTTTTAATAAACACGTAATCTAATCCTAAATAGATGGTGTTTTTACAGAATACAGATTACAAGGTAATCTGATTTTCGTTTTAACAAACACGTAATCTAATCCTAAATAGATGGTGTTTTTACAGAATACGGATTACAATGTAATCTGTTTTTCGTTTTAATAAACACGTAATCTAATCCTAAATAGATGGTGTTTTTAAAGAATACAGATTACAATGTAATCTGACTTTCGTTTTAATAAACACGTAATCTAATCCTAAATAGATGGTGTTTTTACAGAATACAGATTACAAGGTAATCTGTTTTTCGTTTTAATAAACACGTAATCTACTCTTGTTTTTGAATAAAAAGCGCAGCCTTAAAAAAACGATAGCAGTGACAGTATTCCCAGCAAGTAATTTCATACAAAATTTCCTGGCAGCACCGTATAATGGTGGGAATTGTTTGAGATTGTACAACCGATCATTGAAATCGCCTCAACTGATCAATCGTCGATTATAATCGGACAGATCACAGGTTTGGCCATTCTAGGCAACATGTTGGATTCGTCAACAACATGTAAGTCAGGCTGATCTGAGAAAGGCCCTGGCAATTAAAGGAAGCGGCAATTCTCGGCATTTCACATCTTAGTAGATTTGTACGAATGCAATTCCTAAATAGTGCGCTTGAAATTTGTATTTGGATTTTGAATGCACATTTTTATTGATTTTGATACTTTTTATCGTATCATTAAATTCAACTTTTCATTTTTATGGCAATGATCTATTATGAAAAAACATAATCGATTGTCGCGTCGCCTGAAATTTTCTATCAATCATACGCTGCATGCAGGCTGGTGCTTTTCCAGCCCTGCTAAAGAGTATGATTGATAAAAGATCGCTTTCCTCCAATACACATCACATCATTTGCTTGGATAGATTGCCTGATTCATGGTAGCTCACTAAAGGCACCCGACTATTATTACTAAGTAATATTTTGCATGTGATAACCATTTTTTTATGAAAACTATTATTAAGTTGTTCAAATTATAAACTTGTTTTGTTCATTATAAGGAGGAGAAAACGACATATATCAGACATAGTATATCGGGACTGGTTACCAGAAGCACTGTATTGTGGCGAGGTTCTAGCGCCTTCTAAGTTGTGTTGTTTGAATAATTACAAGATTTGCTTCGAACGTAAAATATCGATTAAAAGGGCATCCCGTACAACAAGAACAGCATAAGAAATAGTAATTTGCCTTGAATTGTATTGCAAAATACTGTTTTTCTAAACCATTATATTTTGTAGATTTCAACTTAACCAACTAGCTACAATCCTACATGAGCCTTCCTCTACTATTTCTCCATCACTGTAATTTCTGTTGGTCTCTTGACCGACAGTGACTCAAACACTCGTACAGTAATGTTTTAATCATCTCCAATATAATTTACCTTAATAAGTATTTTCATTTAGTTATTGTAAATCATTGCGCTAAACAACAATAATATATTATGTATTATTACAAACGCTTTTATTTTTATTTTGAAATATATATACCTTGACCTAGTGGTTTATACCAGCTTTATCTTGGCTTATGCAAGAAATAATCCTGTAAATGCAGCACCACCATGTTCTTTTTGAACAGCTTCTCTTGCCTAAAACGAAATACTAGAAACGCATAACAACGATTAAATATGGGCTTACGACTTAAAACAACATGCTCAATAGAAAAGGAAAGTTTTTTTATACGAAATTTCACTGAAGCCGATTTTTACTTATAAAGAGAAAATTTTCTTCAAAAGAACTTATAGAAAACAAACATTAACCAAGCTGGACAGATTTCGTATCACTGTTGCTTGTTTTTATCAGAAACAAAAGTTTTCTTGCCGTAGTTCTTGACATTGAGCGTGCGGTGAAGGTATGCAGTCCTTAGTGACGCTAGTTATAAGTATATTATTGGCCGTTTTTATGTCTCTTAGATCGTCGGAAGGACAAAGACAGACACAAGACGAATTAACCGCCCATACTACTATGGCGTCTAATTGTCTTGACAGACGAATTAAAGTTGTTAACACGTCTCGATCAATTGATATAGACGTATAGTTTTGCGTTAAGTCCGCCCGTCAGTAGTATAGAGAAGGGGGGTCCTGGAGCCGGTGGAGCCGGTGGAACCTTTACGCTCCAACGGAAACGTTGCATTTCAATTCACCCAGGTTAATACAATTAGGTCCCTAAGGATTTTCGATTATGTTATTTATGTCTCTACATCATTCGGTGCATACAGGATAAAGTTTTTCTGTCGTTTTATTGAGCATTATACATAATATAAATCCTAACACGGTTTTATATGCACATGAAAAGCATGTGACTTGGACGAGATTTGAACTCGCACAATCGGGTACTAGTCCGCCGTTCTACCTGATCTACCAAGCCCACAGGGATTGGAGACGAGTCAATTCTCTTTAAGACTACGTATGGACGAGTTTCTCGCCACTATAGCAGTTACTGGATAGCACCTTGTTTCGACTATTTACTGGTTATTTATCGACTAGTTACAGGACTGCACCGTGTTTTAAGCATCATAAATGGTATTTATTAATACATCATTACTACTCAACTGGATCAAATTATATCGTTTACGTTCATGTTAAACAAGGGCATTCAAAATAACGTATCCAATATTATATTAATTTAAAACACGGCCTCAAGGCTCAAGCTCCAGTTACTTCTAAACCGAGTTAATAATGGTCCTTTTTTATTTTGGAGATTATAATTAATCTGTTAACTCTGTCCTTCGCACAGAAGACAAAGCGACGTACGCCACAACATATTGCATGATGCAATATATATTTTTAAATTCCTATACGAAAGCAAGAAATATCATCGATATTTTGATTTTAGTTGTATCACAAAGGCACAAAGATCAACTTTCGCAATACTCAATGAGCTGCAATTTTTAGGAAACAATTAAAAAGATTATTTTATTCTTGATTGCCTAATCACGCCACCTGCATCGTTATCAGTAGCAAAAACAAGACTGTCTTTCACTCGTATATTGCAAAACCTTTACTGTTCAATCAATGTAAGAACAAAAAATGGAATTAATTTGCTGAAAGTTTGTTTTGGGGTGGTATAAAAGGTCGGATTGGCTTCGCTACTGATTTTTATAACTTCATTGTATTAAATAAACTACATTATTTAATTAAACAATGTACTTTGGATGTAAAATTTTTCTAAATATCTCCATTTTTATGTCCTAAACTTTGGGTTGTAACAGCTTATATGCACGTGTATACGAAAAACTTTCAAATTAAAGAGAATTTGCTTCAAAATGCTCTGATAAAATTATAGTATTTGTTCAGAGGCGAAATATTCAACTTTATATTTTTTTAGCAGGTTCAGCAATTTTACCATCATAATAAATATATATGTCTAAATTAAACTTACACAAGCAATAATTAAACGTCTTTCTTCCTATAAAATATGATTAAGTAATTATTTATAATGAAGACTTCCTACTAAGTAGCTGCAATTGCTTGACGTTTATACGTCAACAACGGTCGGTTTCTTTTTTGTAATTTCTTGAACTAAAAGTCATCATTTGTACTTATCAATTGAATTTCATTCGTTGACCAAACCATAATTGTGTTGTGGCATTATCTGATGATGCACAACGATGTTTTTTGTCATAACAATCATAAAATCCAAAATTATCTTCTCCTCCTTTAGCTTGATCATTACATACAGATGATTCAAAACCCTTCAGATTGCATTGAGATGAACTATGGGTATTGTCTGTGTGAAAAATATGTTCGTCATTTTGCCAAAAAGGAATTTGGCAATCTTTACACCTATGCCCTCTGATATTAATAAAACTGACATTTAAACAAACTGGAAATGTATCGAATTTTTTTAAAACTGATGCATTTTCATGGGTTGCAATAACAATATCTGTTTCATTCCAGCCATTGTCACCATATGAACACGTGATGCGCCATAGTGTGTTTCCATCTTCTTTTATACTTTTCATTGCATTAAAAGAAAGTCTGTGATCTTCCCATGTTTCATTCATTTCATTTCGAGGAGAGTTTTCATAATATGCCTTATTTTTGTAGTGTTCGTTGAATTTTAAACTATAAGACATAACCAATGTCCAAATGTTGACTGGTCCAAACTGACAGTAAACTTTCACTTGTTGTCATCATTTGTAAATATTTTGTACCAGCCATCAGAAAGATCACGATAACTTTGACAAGACTTTGCTTTCTTTTCACAACGTTCACCAACAAATCCCTCTTTACACTCACATGAAGCACGTGTCTTACTTAGGGGTGACTTTGATTTACGACATTTTCCATCGTTATAGCAGTAAGTTGAAGTAAGACAGCAATCTATTACAACAAAGCAGCTTTGTTGATAGTAGTTTGATCGACACTTTTAAAATAAAAAAAATCAATTTTAGTAACACAAAAAACTTAAAGTTGTTTTTTATTAAACAGGATAGAACAATAATAATTGTTTTCTTTTTATTTTAAATTATTTGTATTAGAAAAAAACTATGGAACTTTTATTTGAACTATGGTTTAGCTATGCAGCACGATCTTATGGGTGTTGGGATGGGATGTTTGTGCTCATGCGTTTAAGTACTTGTCCCATAATAAAACAATTGATTTAAAAGGATCATTGTATGGCATAATATGAATTCATGATTGAGAGTATTCACCCTCTAATTATTCATATAGCTACGTAATAGAGATAGCTGCATAACTGATGTTATATGTTTGTGGAATGATTTAATTATTACCAAATGACACATCAAACTTGGCTTCCAGCTATTTTTTTAATTCTCTTTTTGATCTGTCAACGTTATTTGGTATTTTATCTATGATTTTTATATTCTTATACGCGTTAAGTTGGAAATGATCTTTAAATGCCTTAAAAATGAGATTATCTCATTGAAGAACGGCAACAGCATTGAAAATATTATAAATCTATGTGAGTGTTACATTTAATCATAATTGATTTAAGCAGAATGAAACTTAAACACAACAGCTCAATTAGCAGTCGGCTCTGATTATTAAGCCCTTATTATTCGAGCAGAAAGTCTTTACGAAAAATATCACACTGAACTTTTCTATCAGAGGCAGACGAAAAGTAATAGACAAAGGCAAAAATGTTTCTGACCCAATTAAAGCGCGCCAATTTCACGGGAAGTGACGTTTGCAAAATGGGGATCACCAATATTATACATATAGTCCACCCCACCAGTCGTCACCTTTTACTAGTATTTCTCAGAAATATGAGTCTAACTTTCTCTTATCATTCTTAGAGTTACGTGCTTTGAAATCAAAAGATTATCAGACACATAAAATTAAGCATAATCTGGCTTGTAAGCTTTAAAGTTTCGGACAATTCATACAATAAAAATTTGCACGACATTAGTGTTTCTGAAATACCTCATGTTGGTTTGCTATGTTCATTGTGAAATGCTGACATTGTCGTTTCTCATCTTTGTTACTTAGTTCGTCTGTTATCGTAGTGGAAAGAAGTTGGCAGGTAGAATCACAAATTTGAAATGATAAACATGAGCAGTCTTGTAGACACTTCTCCAGACATTTGTTAATCTCTGAGGCGCTGATGTTTCTCAAAATATAGTTTGAGGGCAGTGACGCAATACGAGCTTGGAGTTGTACATTGCCTTTAATAAAGATGACTGAAGATAAACACCATATATTGAAAAATCTAATCCAAAAGAGCATTTTCAAACAAACTTTTCCTAAAAAAATCAAAAATATTGAACTTTATTACGGTTATGTCAGTAGCCATTTTTTCTTGTCTATAAAGGGCACATGGCTGTAAATGTTGGGAAAATGCAAATTAGCAACAAAACTAGTAACAAAATGGTGTTCAAAGCTACTTCAACGAGAGGTAAAACAAAAGATGCTTAACAAAGTAAATTTTAAAGTTTAATGATGAAAGATGTGTTAGGGCTAAGTGCACCGTTAGGGTATGGGTTTGAATAGGGGTCAGGCTTTATAAATATGAAATTAAATTTAAGCTATATGTTCGGATTTAAAAAAACTTGCTTTATTTTTCCAAGATGCTTGGTAAACTGCATTTGAGCGTTTATTTTTTGATTGGTATTTTTTGCATGCTATGATGAAGTAACGAAACCTTTTCTCCAAACACAAAAAGGAATTTTTTATTTCTTATATGAATCAACACGCGCATAAAAAGAAACATGGATAAAAAGCAATTGAAAAACATGGCGTTAAATCACAGTTACAGTTCAAAAAATATGCAAAGAAAAATTATATGATCCTACCACTTTCACTTTAAGGCGTTTTCAAACTATGTGCTCTCTTTCTCTTGCGAATTATATGAGAAAAAGTGTCGACAGACCATTATATTAAGCGTTTCGGCAATTAACATATTTGTTTATCGTCATAAATTTAACATTCTGGTTTTTTTTACTATTTACACAGATGTTCTATTTCTTGCATGAAACAGTATTGCGGCCATCTTTTTAATGGTTTTCATGTCAGTGTTAGATTGAAAATGACGTTTGATATATAGCTTTAGCAAATATTAACATGGAAAATTTAATACTGCTATGCCATTTCGTCAGTGAAACTGTACATCTAGCAGGTGTAAAAATTGCATTCTGGTTACGCCATTGGCTGCTTTTAGCATAATTTAACTTTCCTAATGTTTTATTTCCATTTTTCCATTAAAACTCTGTTTGACTTTTTTGTACATTAGACACTCGGTCTGTTTAACTAGTTGTATTTCATGCTAAATTCATGCATTTTGAAAACTTAACAGTATTTTAAACACGCTTGTTATTTCATAAAAGATTTGTACCGAAAAAAGCACACTTAGCTAGAAAATCAATTAAAATGCACCTGCTATGATTGAAACCATAGAAACATATTAAGTTCACCAAACTTAATGCACGTAAAAATTTGCGTAACACCTTAATTGATCTTTCTTTTCTTTGTCCAAAGCAATCAAAATATAGCAAGGAATAATATAGCGTAGAAAACTTTTACTCCTTCTCAATATGAATGAGATAAAACTTCTCAAAAGCAGATAGCCGTACGCTACAAATCTAGTGCTTGTGACCGGTATCACGAAGTTAATAGGCCTGAACGACACTTATTTCAAGTTTTCAGTTAGAAACTTGGATACTAAGCTTTCTTGAAACTAATTTTATTTGACATGATTAGGAACATTTTTCTAAGAAGCTTTGCACTATCCTTGGATCCCTAGTGTTCTTTTGGATTCATTCAAACAACATAAAACCATACACACCAAGTCGAAAATACGTGATCTTATATGAAGCAATTAAGACAAGTAATATATGATAATATCCTCCCACCATACTAAAAAACCAAAAGTATAATCTTACTACATATTCAAATATTCAGAAGTGTAAAGCGTTTACAAAGGAATTGGAGGAGTGGAGAGATTTCAATTATTATATTATGGTTACTTAAGTGAAGAAAAACAAGATTAATGTGTTTTGAAAATTACTATACTCGCAAAAAATTTCGCCACCTTAATATTTCTAGTACTTTCATATACTTGGCTTGGATTCAAAATCGCCTTCCATGTCACCGTCAATTTTATAATTACTCATTTATATATATGCATGTAATTTTTTCATTAAATAGTTAGGTCTATTTTTGAAGCCATAAAATTAGATAACAACTGTGTTTAAAGAAACAGAATAGTTTTAAAAACGTCTAAGTTTTAGCTTTATATGTTTATCAAAAACACAAAGGAAGAACAATCAATAAGAAGACGATTGTATATAAAAACGCTTCGCCTATATTTTATGTCTATTTAAGTTCCATTCTTTGACATCATAAAATAGCATAAATATTGAGAAACAATCATTATAAGAGTTAACAAAAGTGTTTTACACATTTAGAGACAACAGTTTAACGTGCTTGTGTAGCTATGACTTCGCCTTCATATAACTCCTAAAGCATAACACGTAGATATGCAAAGCATCAATCAGTTTCCATTTTTAGAAAAATTCAATGACAGTATTAAAACAATTCATGCAGGTGGCCTACTAAAGCTTTCCGCACAGATTCCATTAACTTTGCTAACATCAGTGCGGACATTAGTTCTAAGCGCGGTATAGTAAGCTTCTTCAGCGGCGCAACTCTAGTTTTTGCCTTTAACAATTTCACAAAGACTCCAACACTCATGCGACAAACAAAATGTACTGTGCGGTGTTTGAAATGATCTGAAAATTTAATTTCAAACACCGCACTGCATATAACATTCTTTCATATGACAAACAAAATATACTAGCCTGCAATACGCTTTCTCGCTTGCATCACCAAACTCGTGAAGTTCACAAGATTGAATTTCGCCCTTCACACTACTATAGATTCATCTACTTAGCTTAATAGTCTTAACACGGTTTAGATCTTCAATCCATTCAGTGTGTAGACTGGCGTGCTTTCTGCTTATCTCGTCATCCCAATCAATCTTTTCTACGCACAAATGTTGAAACAAGATTTTCATCAAAACTATTACGCAGCTAATTAATCCTAGTGGATCAAATATCTTTGCTGATGCACTCAGCAAGTTTCGTTTAGTTGGCTTCTTTTCACCCAAGTCAACTACAAAATTTTGTAGGTCGAACATGAACAGATCATTGTCGCAATCCCAGCCTATACCAAAAACTTTTGCGTAATCATCGTTATTTTGGATTCGCGAACTCCATTGTGTGAATGTTTCATCGTCTGGATCTGTTGCCTGCACAACATTGTTCTCGCATTCACGCTGTTCTATATCCGCACGCATGTTTGCGTCATTTGTCATCCATTTCCTTAACTTAAACCCGCCTTGAGACATTCTAAATTTTGCCTTTTCATATAAATCGATCGTTTCGTGTGCGCTTATGCCCCGAAACTAAGTCATTGACAAGCGCTTAATTTGCCCTTTCATGCGTCCTAAACTATTGGCATAGTTACTTGGTAAATGCTCATGACCATGGCAATTTAACAGAGTACTTATGCCCATTAAACTCAATTTTATTTAATAATTCTTCGTGCACATCGTCAGTTTCCTGACCCCAAGTGTTTCTAAATCCCACAACTTGTTCACCTGCCTGTTTATGCTGTTTGTATTCTCCGTTGCAGTCTGCGAAACTAAATTAACATGTGCATTTTTGATTTTCGAGCTCCCTTTCAGTGGACCGCTTACAACCCATCCTAAACAAGTGTCAATCGCAAATGGCTCACCTTTTTGAACCTAATTATTTATCCTTTCTGAAAAGCCCAAAGGTTAACTGCTCCTATCAAAACATCCACTTCCAACATTTCCTGCTTCAAACTTGCATCTGACAAAACAAATTTTTCAAATGAGAATACTGCTCCTTAGCCATCTCAATATGCTAATTTTTTACTGTGCAAATACGTGGAACTACTAATGCCTCCAAATGAATTTTCAATCACCCTAACTGATGCGACCTCGCAATTGACGTCCTCTGTCATCTTACCTTCATTTGTTCCACCACCAAAAGTGTTGACCTTTAACCATTCCTGCCTTGCTACATTAAGCTTCGCATCTCGTTTTGCCCTGTTTGTCACGAAAGACTTCTGACTTTCCGAGTCAAAAAGCACTTGCACTCTCTTCCTATTCTGACCTACGAGAATTTCTTGCGCAGTCTGCAAGGCTACCCTTGTCTTTGTACTCACATGAACGTTACTCACATTTATCTTCTTTGTTTTCTCTGCGCTACCACTCTGTTTTTCAGCCTTCTCTTCGTCCTGTTTTCCTTTGTCACATATAGACACATGATGACCCTCCCCACATACATTACATTTAGTACGTGCACGACCATCTTTTGCTAAATGACCTTATTTAGACAAACAAAATATCTTTTAAACTTACGAGGAAGTTGCATACGTTCTGTCCGTCCTGTTATCTTTATATACTCTTATACTGTTTGTGGCATCAAAGAACTTGCGCAGCCTTGTCGTATCATTCTCGTTGTACACGGGCTTTAGCTTCATCATATCATTTAGATGTGCCCTTTGCACCATCACTTTGTTCCCGTATCTCCGTTCTAACACCTTCAGGGATTCTGCATAGTTGATCGAAGTCAGAGCAAATTCTGAAATTGCTGACTTGGCCGGCTCCTCCATCATTCCCCTCAGATAGGTGAAGTTGTCGACCTCAGACAATCCGTCTTTGTTGTGAATTGAACTCTCAAAAAAGTCCCAGAATTCACGCCACTCTTGTATCTTGCCCGAGAACGTTTTCACCTCCAGTTTGGGCTGCTTTACTCTACAGCGTGCTCCACTGGATACCGTACTTGCTGATGTGTTGGCGAGTTCCTCATTTCGCTTGTTTGTCTCTATCGTGCTCAGCGCTTCGTTGATTTCGGCCAACGCGCCCAAAGCGTCGCAGCTGTATTCTGATGAGCCGTCAATATCTGCAGAAATATCTTCATCTTTTTTTAACAAGCTCTGAATCTCATCGTCCAACTTCGAAATTGTATCTAATTTCTGTAGGAGTATAAGCCACATTTGTTCCAGTTCGACTTTCCTTGATGGTGCATTATCGTTTACCATACTTCTCACCTTGTTCACAACTTTTGTGGCGTATGATTTGTGCCCTCCTCGACTGTCGCTTTCTTGTCAGCTCCGACATCGTTAACAACTCTTTATCCTATTTCTGTGTTCTTCTTGAATAATGCTACTAGATCCGGCTCGAAGTACCACGTTTCGCACAATCTGTACGAAGTGCTGGTTCACTGTTCTCAACTTCACTCGAACGATGGGACTGTATTTTGAAAATAATATTTAACATTTCGATAGGATATTTACAGTGGTTGTGCACGATTTTTACGTTAAGGAGTTCAAGCGTTGGTTCTTCGCGATACGGAATAATTAAACTGATCTCGTTAAGATTACGGACAACCATCAATCCTTAAACTGCGTTTTCGAACTTTATTTCCTTCTGCAATACGACTCTAATTTATCAAATTTGTATGACCACTTCATACACCAATAACGTCAAATTTTCCGAACTCCCGAACCAACGCTTGCAAGCTATATTTATATATAATTATTCGGAAGTGGTTTAGGCGTTTACATATAAATTGCAACTTTGCCATTCCGTTTTTAACTACATCCTACCGCAATGACGCATTGAAAGGAAGTGTTCTCCTAACATGACTATACTATTTTACATCAATTTAATAATATCAGTTACATCTTATAATCTATAATAAGTCATAGTCACACACTACATAATTTGACATGACAATTTACAACTTGGTCATGATTGTCCTGGTTGTGATTGTCATGGTCATGATGTCATGGTTGTGATAGTCATGGTCATGATGGTAATGGTTGTGATAGTCATGGTTATGATTGTCATGGTTGTGATAGTCATGGTCATGATGGTCATGGTTGTGACAGTCATGGTCATAATAGTCATGGCTGTGATTGTCATGGTCATGATTGTCATGGTTGTGATAGTCATGGTCATGACGGTCATCGCCATGATTGTCATGGTCATGATAGTCATGGTCATGATGGTCATGGTTGTGATAGTCATGGTCATAATTGTCATTGTCATGATTGTCATGGTTGTGATAGTCATGGTCACAATAGTCATGGTTGTGATAGTCATGGTCATGATTGTCATGATTGTGATAGTCATGGTCATGATTGTCATGGTTATGATAGTCATGGTCACGATTGTCATGGTCATGATGGTCATGGTCATGACAGTCATGGTCATGATGGTCATGGTCATGATGGTCATGGTCATGATAGTCATGGTCATGATTGTCATGGTCATGATGGTCATGGTCATGATTGTCATGGTCATGCTGGTCATGGTCATGATAGTCATGGTCATGATGGCCATGGTCATGATAGTTATGGTTGTGATGGTCAAGGTCATGATGGTCATGGTCATGATAGTCATGGTCATGATGGTCATGGTCATGATGATCATGGTCATGATAGTCATGGTCATGATAATCATGGTCTTGATAGTCATGTTCTCATCCTTCTCCACGCTCAAATTATCAGTAATTTGTGGTTATTGAACAAGCTTGCCCTCAACATGTACTGTTTTTATTAAAATGTTATGTTTAGTTATTTTACTATGTTTTGAAAATTGTTAATTGAAGTATTATATACAATTTCAGCCAATTGTTAAATACAATTTTGAACATAATTGTATATACCTGGTGTCATACTGTCTTGTGTGAATCCGTGGGATGAATATGTTAACTAGGAATGCAAACTCTTTAATAAACAGAATATAGCATACCGCTTTTGTGACCATTTGTGTATGGGATTCCATCGTTGATTTTCGTAAGTCGAAATCTGAACGCGTACAGGAATATCACATTTGTTTACGTACAAGTACACATTCTGATCACGTCCGACAGCAAATGCACATGGCTTTACGGCTGATATTCTTTTTGTGATAACCGTATCATCTGATCGAGCTTGCAATTTATTATCCTACAGGGATAAGGTGTGCGACTTACCGTTTGTATCGGCAAACCAAATAACCCCTTTGCTGTTCATAACTCGACAAAACCGAACTTCCAATTTCGATTTGTCCCGGAACTCAAAAACGCACAGTCAGAACTTTTCAGTAATTGCGTTACATAAGGGCATCATGCATAATGACTTTCTGTTTTGGCTTCCTGTGTCCTCCTCTCACTAGTACCCCTCTTCCCTCAAACACACGGGTTAATTTTAACAATCCCAGACCTCAGTGTCACGTGTGATCCATTACATGCCATCCACCGTGTTACCACGTGGTTAAAAAAAATTGTAACAAATTTGTAACAAAATGACAAACAAAAATTACTAAAACATTGGTTTTGTTGGGAATGAAGAAGCGAGGATTTGGTGCTGGAAGATGGAATGGATTTCGTTGCAAAGTAGATAGCACAGAAACAATTGAGGCAGGAGCAAAAAGATAGGTTTGCAAATGTTTATTCTTCTTGGACTGTTGAAAATAATTTACACAATGGCAATTCTGTAATTTTTAGAAAATTAAAAGAAGAATGCAATCTAACCACAAGGACCTAAAACCTCAGCCACAAATCCTGGAAATCCATGTTTTCACAACAAGGCTTTACGAAGGGGAAGTGCAAGAATCAGAAGGTGAACAAGTTAAAATCAATGGCATTGGCAGCCTGCAAATTTTTGTCCAACTTTGTAAATTTCAGCATATTGTTTTTCATTATTCAATTTATTTGTTGTTTCTATTGTGAGTGAATAAATGGATTAATAAACAGTCTGGCTACTCCACTGCTTAAAATTAATTCAGAATAAATATAAAGCTTTTCATAAATTAATTTTATGCATTTTCCTCCAACAGAAATGAGACCTAAGTGGTTTAACATGGATGAAATTCCTTTCAATGAAATATGGCCCGATGACAAATTGTGGTTTCCAATGATGCTAAGCGACAACATGTTCAAAGGTTATTTTAAGTAGTGTTTTTTATATCAATGAATTTCATTGAGGTCAGTTTTTGTTTTCGTCGGGCAAAAAGTGTCAGCACACCCATTTTTGGTCCCGTACACCCATGCTTGCTGGCAAATTCCTAAATAGATAGTGTTTTTACAGAATAAAGATTACAATGTAATCTGTTTTCGTTTTAATAAACACGTAATCTACTCTTGTTTTTGAAAAAGCACAGCCTTAAAAACTATAGCAGTGACAATAGTCCCAGCAAATAATTTCTTACAAAATTTCCTGGCAGCACTGTATAATGGTGGGAATTGGTTGAGATTGTACAATCGATCGTTGAAATCGCCTCAACTGATCAATCGTCGATTATAATCGGACAGATCAATCCTTTGGCCATTTTAGCCAACATGTTGGATTCGTCAACAACATGTAAGTCAGGATGATCTGAGAAAGGCCCTGGCAATAAAAGCAAGCGGCAATTCTCGGCATTTCACATCTTAGTAGCTTTGTACGAATGTAATTCCTAAAAAGTGCGCTTGAAATTTGTGTTTGGATTTTGAATGCATATTTTTATTAATTTTGATCGTTTTTATTGTATCATTAACTTCAACTTTTCATTTTTATGGCAATAATCTATTATGAAAAAACATAATCGATTGTCGCGTCGTCTGAAATTTTCTATCAATCATACGCTGTATGCAGCCTGCATACAGCTTGGTGCTTTCCCAGCCCTGCTAAAGAGTACGATTGATGAAAGATCGTTTTCCTCCAATACATATCACATCATTTGCTTGGATAGATTGCCTGATTCATGGTAGCTCATTAAAGGCACCCGGCTATTATTACTAAGTAACATTTTGCATGTGATAACCATTTATTTATGAAAACTATTATTAAGTTGTTCAAATTATAAACTTGTTTTGTTCATTATGAGGAGGAGGTAACGACATATATCAGACATAGTATATCGGGGCTAGTTAACAGAAGCACTGTATTGTGGCGAGGTTCTAGCGCCTTCTAAGTTGTGTTGTTTGAATAATTACAAGATTTGCTTCGAACGTAAAATATCGATTAAAGGGCATCCCGTACAACAAGAACAGCATAAGAAATAGTAATTTGCCTTGAATTGTATTGCAAAATACTGTTTTTCTAAACCATTATATTTCGTAGATTTCAACTTAACCAACTAGCTACAATCCTACATGAGCCTTCCTGTACTATTTCTCTCGTGCGACAGGGACTCAAAACACTCGTACAGTGTTTTATCATCTCAATATAATTTACCTTAATAAGTACTTTTCATTTAGTTATTGTAAATCATTGCGCTAAACAACAATAATATATTATGTAGTATTACAAACGCTTTTATTTTATTTTGAAATATATGTACCTTGACCTAGTGGTTTATACCAGCTTTATCTTGGCTTATGCAAGAAATAATCCTGTAAATGCAGCACCACCTTGTTCTTTTTGAACAGCTTCTCTTGCCTAAAACGAATTACTAGAAACGCATAACAATGATTAAACATGGGTTTGCGACTTATATACAAATGCTCAATAGAAAATTAAATATTTTTCATACAAATTTCACTGAAGCCGATTTTTATTTATCAACAAAAATTTTCTTAAAAGAACTTATTTGTATCAAGCAAGAGCCAAGTGAAAAACATAAACGTACCGCTGTTGCTTTTTTATATCAGAGACAAAAGTTTTCTTGCCGTAGTTCTTGACAGTTAGCGTGCGGTGAAGGTATTCAGGCCTTAGTGACGCTAGTTATAAGTATATTATTGGCCGTTTTTAGGTCTCTTAGATCGTCGGAAGGACAAAGACAGACACGAGGCGAATTAACCGTCCAGACTACTATGGTGTCTAATTCGTCTTGACAGACGAATTAAAGTTGTTAACACGTCTCGATCAATTGATTTTGACGTATAGTTTTGTTAAGTCCGCCCGTCAGTAGTATAGAGAAGGGGAGTCCTGGAGCCGGTGGAGCCGGTGGAACCTTTACGCTCCACCGAAAACGTTGCATTTCAATTCACCCAGGTTAATATAACTAGGTCCCTAAGGATTTTCGATTATGTTATTCATGTCTCTACATCATTCGGTGCATACAGGACAAAGTTTTTCTGTCGTTTTATTGAGCATTATACATAATATAAATCCTAACACGGTTTTTATATGCACATGAAAAGCATGTGACTTGGACGAGATTTGAACATGCACAATCGGGTACTAGTCCGCCTCTCTACCTGATCTACCAAGCCCACAGGGATTGGAGACGAGTCAATTCTCTTTAAGACTACGTATGGACGAGATTCTCGCCACTATAGCAGTTACTGGATAGCACCTTGTTTCGACTATTTACTGGTTATTTATCGACTAGTTACAGGACTGCACCGTGTTTTAAGCATCATAAATGGTATTTATTAATACATCATTACTACTCAACTGGATCAAATTATATCGTTTACGTTCATGTTAAACAAGGGCATTCAAAATAACGTATCCAATATTATATTAATTTAAAACACGGCCTCAAGGCTCAAGCTCCAGTTACTTCTAAACCGAGTTAATAATGGTCCTTTTTTATTTTGGAGATTATAATTAATCTGTTAACTCTGTCCTTCGCACAGAAGACAAAGCGACGTACGCCAAACATATTGCATGATGCAATATATATTTTAAATTCCTATACGAAAGCAAGAAATATCATCGATATTTTGATTTTAGTTGTATCACAAAGGCACAAAGATCAACTTTCGCAATACTCAATGAGCTGCAATTTTTAGGAAACAATTAAAAAGATTATTTTATTCTTGATTGCCTAATCACGCCACCTGCATCGTTATCAGTAGCAAAAACAAGACTGTCTTTTACTCGTATATTGCAAAACCTTTAGTGTTCAATCAATGTAAGAACAAAAAATGGAATTAATTTGCTGAAAGTTTGTTTTGGGGTCGTATAAAAGATCGGATTGGCTTCGCTACTGATTTTATAACTTCATTGCATTAAATAAATACATTATTTAACTGAACAATGTACTTTGGATAAAAATTTTTCTAAATATCTCAATTCTTATGTCCTATACTTCCCAGTATGTCTCTGTCTGCTTTTTCAGTTACCTTTCCAACACGAATATCATCAAAAGTCATTCTTTGATTAAGAGCATCTTTTCAAGAGTATTCTAATTGCGCATTTAATAAAACGACAAGTTTTTTACTTCTAATTCTAATTTCTTTTACAATTCAATTCAATTAGCTATTTAATTTTACTAAAGGCCATAATATGTTGTTAAAAATTTTAATATCATAGGTGATATACGTGCTTCCAATGATCTATAGAGCCGATTAAATAAGATTTGTGACCTAAATACCCCAAATATTTTAAGATATCAAACTTTGGGTTGTAACAGCTTATATGCACGTGTATACGAAAAACATTTCAAATTAAAGAGAATTTGCTTTAAAATGCTCTGATAAAATTATAGTATTTGTTCAGAGGCGAAACATTCAACTTATATTCTATTTAGCAGGTTTAGAATTTTTTCATCCCTATCATTTACGAATAAATATATATGCCTAAATTAAACTTACACAAGCAATAATTAAACGTCTTTCTTCCTATAAAATATGATTAAGTAATTATTTATGATGAAGACTTCCTACTAAGGAGCTGCAAATGCTTAAAGTTTATACGTCAACAACGGTCGGTTTCTTTTTTTTGTAATTTCTTGAACTAAAAGTCCTCATTTGTACTTATCAATTAAATTTCATTCGTTGACCAAACCATAATTGTGTTGTGGCATTATCTGACGATGAACAACGATGTTTTGTGTTACAACACTGATATAATCCAAAATTATCTTCTCCTCCTTCAGCTTGATCTTTACAGACAGATAATTCAAAACCCTTCAGATTGCATTCAACTTCATGGGTATTGTCTGTGTGAAAAATTTGTTGTCATCTTGCCAAAAGGAATTTGGCAATCTTTACACTTATACCCTCTGATATCTATAGAACGGACATTTAAACACTCAGGAGGTTCAACATTTTTTAAAACTGGTGCATTTTCATGGGTTGCAATAACAATATCTGTTTCATTCCAGCCTTTTCACCATATGAACACGTAATGCGCCATAGCATGTTTCCATCTTCTTTTATACTTTTCATTGCATTAAAAGAAAGTCTGTGATCTTCCCATGTTTCATTCATTTCATTTCGAGGAGAGTTTTATAATATGCCTTATTTTTGTAGTGTTCGTTGAATTTTAAACTATAAGACATAACCAATGTCCAAATGTTGACTGGTCCAAACTGACAGTAAACTTTCACTTGGTTGTCATCATTTGTAAATATTTTGTACCAGCCATCAGAAAGATCACGATAACTTTGACAAGACTTTGCTTTCTTTTCACAACGTTCACCAAATCCCTCTTTACACTCACATGAAGCACGTGTCTTACTTAGGGTGACTTTGATTTACGACATTTTCCATCGTTATAGCAGTAAGTTGAAGTAAGACAGCAATCTATTACAACAAAACAGCTTTGTTGATAGTAGTTTGATCGACACTTTTAAAATAAAAAAAATCAATTTTAGCAACACAAAAACTTAAAGTTGTTTTTATTAAACAGAATAGAAAAATAATAATTGTTTTCTTTTTATTTTATAGTTATTTGTATTAGAAAGTAAAAAATATGGAACTTTTTATTTGAACTATGGTTTAGCTATACAGCACGATCTTATAGGTGTTGGGGTGGGATGTTTGTGCTCATGCGTTTTAGTACTTGTCCCATAATAAAACAATTGATTTAAAAGGACCATTGCATGGCATAATATGAAT